AAGGCAGAGTAAATAAAATTGGAAAACCTGCTGTCTACAGTGAACACCAACAGTTTTCCCTCCAAAAGTATTATTCCAAATTTTTAAAGGGGAAAAAAGAATTTCTCTCCAGATTGAGTCAATAAAGTAAGATCTTATGTATACTCATTGCATAGTACATAATCAAATAGAATTCAAGATGATAGCCTGCACACTAAAAACAAGGTCATTACTATTATGGTCTATCTATATAAACAAAGACTTTAAACATCTAAAATATGGACTCTGGATTGAAAAGAAAGTGATTAAATGGCCACAGTAAGTCTTTTTGAAGATGGCAGAAGGATGGATTGAGGTTTCATTTTGATACATTTTTTCAAGTCTTACTTCTGCTTGGGAATCAGTATGTTGAATTTGTGATCTAAAATTACTTTGCTGATAAAAAAATTATCTATCAGGAAATCTAAATGAATATAATATAATTGAAGCAAAAAATTTGGGGACCAAAGAAAACTTCATCTAAGCCAAATGTTTCCATATGCATATGAGCTGCTATAACATTCTAGATTCCCTGGTTAGCTAGGCTGATGGGACTTGAAACATAGATATAGCCTCAATTCCTTCCCTTCCTCCACATGCATAGAAGAGTTTAACTCTGCTACAGTAAGTTGTACAAAATACTTTCATTTTTAAATACCCTAAAATGAAACTGGTTGAAGAAGAAAGACAACAAAAAACCTTACACAAAACAAACAAAAAAAGACCCCTTCATGAAAATCCTCAGGGAACTTGTAAAAAAATCATTGAGTGGCTTTTATTTATTTCAATAGCCTCAAAGTATTTAATATTCCAAACACATCCAGAATTATTTGCACATTCATTTATTAATATTTATTACTGGAAGTACTTCGCTTTATTGAAAAAGAAAAGTCATTAGCATGATAATTTGGTCTCTTTATATCAACAAAAAAGGAAGATGAACCACAGAAGAACCATTCTTAATTCTTTCATCCACTGACAGACTTACCTTTTCTGTGGGCCATAAAGATTTTTTTAACATGATATGACAGCTGAGAACAACTTTCTTCTAATAAATTTATTTCAAAAACATAAAATGGATAGAAAATTTACAGCTCAGAGCTAAATAGAGAGCAATTGCTAAGTGTTAACAAAAGAAAGCACTGCACCTGTCTAAAGAGCAAAATGGCTGGATGTAGGGGAAAAATAAATCCTTTGACTGTGCCCCATTTACTCATGTATTTTATGTGGTAACAGTAACACTGAAAACATGTTCTAAACCAAGTCAAGATGCTGAATTTGTTTTATTTTGCACTTAGCTGCAACAATAAGACCCTTATTCTGCTAGAAAGAGTTGTGGCTTTCTGAAGCTATACAGTAGAGGATATTGTATGCCTGGTATGTTCAAGGTGGTCTTTGTGGTATGTAAGAGCAGCTTGTCTTCTCTACACATTGATGAAATTGCTCTCAGCTGTAATTTTAAAAAGAGCTCTGCACGTATAAAAAGAGAGACATAATCTATTATTTTTTTCTCATTATTAACATATTTATTTTCTAAACCGTAGCCTACTAACCAATTCATACTTCTCCATGAATTTAAGTGACCTGGATGCAGAAATATCACTGGCTAATGAAAGGACTTTTAGGAAGCAAGGCTTATTGCTATTTTTTAAGTGTTCTCTATCTATAAAGAACATTAAGACACAACCATACATGTCTACTTGCATCTTGTTTTAATGTTTACAACTGAAAACTACCTGTATACATACTCTATTTTTTTTAATTAAAATAATTTTTTTTTAAATTCTTGCAAATTTGAAAGTTGTGTAAGACACAAGCGTAATATTTTTTGAATCTTACATTTTAGGTAAGTGACAGACACTCACCCCAAGACAGTCATCACTGCAAATATACGATTACTCCTCTCTGTTAAGGAAGAGTAACAAAATTGAAAAGCTTTTGTCTGTTACTTATGAAATGTCTTCCTCTTTCTTTCTGATAATTCCTCTTTCTCACATTCTCTTCTCAAAAGTCAGGCTTTAAAGTGGTTGAGAAGTAAAGATGGTATCATTTGCTATCCTACATTTCTGCTGTAGTGACAATACTTTTTTTCTTAGAGACTGAAAGAATAGAAGAGGAAGAAATGGATCCATAGCAATCTAAATGAAATCAAGATGCTGAATAAGCAGGACAGCATAGTTTTTGATTTTTCAAAATCAGTTCCCACAAACATCTATTTTTCTTGAGACTATTTCCTAGAATCTTTAATAAAAGGTTATTTTAATTAAGTGAAAATAGTACTTTTGAAGGAAATGGTATAGCTCAACATGAAGGTTTTTCCCCCCTTTGTTTAGAATTACATAGATATATGGGTTTTTTCCATTTATTTTCAGAGAATTTTAGCTTTAATTTCCTGCATGCCTCTCTTGGATTTTTAACTCAAAGAAGCATTAATAATCCCACCTTCATTTTTGACAAGTTAACACTACTCATGCATTAGTGGTTCTCTCTTACGTTCCTTTCTAGAGAAAAGAGTAGACTCTGCCTACAGAAGTAAGGCTAAGACTAGGGTTTCCCAAGTGAATGAGTCATACTTGGAAGTAATCTTTGGATATTTTGGTCACTCTCATCCTATCCTCCAATAAAAGGGAAAAAATACTCAAACCCAGAAGTACTTTATTCCATTGGAAATTCTTTAGGTGAATCGGACACAGATCTTAGCACAATTCTAATGTAAATTGCTACTGACAAGACTGCACTATTTGTGCAAATGAAGGAAAGTCATCCTTGTTATTTGTACTGCATTTTCACCCCAGTCCTAGCAAACTAAACTCTTGAATTTCAACTGAACTTTTAACCAAACAGACACTCTTAAATGAGACTCAACTGAGCAGGCATGGTAACAGTTCAGAAAAAGGACTGATTTGCCAACAATGAAAGAGCAGTTATAATGGAATTATTTTTAAAATGTATATCAATAATTCTTGTAAAACCTCAATAAAGAAGCACAGGAGTCAACAGGCTAACAAAAGTCTCTCTTTTATAACTCACTTATGTCCCTTTGGCAAAGTAAGAGTACCCAAGGCATTAGCAATTTAAAACAGGAGGGAAATAAAGCTGAGCTCAACAAGAGGAAGAAATTTTGGCTTCCATTTGGTTTTGATTTTCTTCATTGGTTGTTCTTCTGCACTTCATAAAAATAATACCATACTTCTTTCATATTACCAAATCAAATATGAATTGCATAGCAAGCCTCTTTGAACTGGGTGTAAAATACACTGTTCATAATTCTTCAGTACAGACATGAAATGAAAAGATATGGAAGACCTCGAAGAAAAAACATCTCTGCTTTACTTCATAATAAATCTTTAATTCCTAGTGGTGACACTTTTTAAGTTAGCAGTAAGGGGCATTTATGATATCCAAAAGCTTTTTATACAACACTCAGAATATTAACCAATACTTTACTACCATCCCTAACCCTTAAATTCACCTCCTGTTCCTGAACCTCTCCTCTAACAGGAGAGATTTGTTTCAAACAAAAAACTGCTGGTATCCTGAATGCATACTGAAGGTCATCAATAATTTGAAATCTTACTAAATGTTAAACAGTATTAACACTTTTATAAAGTAAATAAATTGTCTATTTCCAAATGGTTTGGAAATTTTTTTCTGGTTTCCAAATAAACTTTTTGAACAACTATGCTTAGCTAAAACCTGACTTACAAATTTTCTGATGCAATTTAATTGAAGATTTATAACTTAAGAATTATATGTAGAAATTTGTAGTCGCTAAGTCAAAGCAATGATGTTCTTTAATATTCACTTGCTTCATCTGGAATGCTTGTAATTATCAGTTGTTTCTTGAATACTGACTCAAAGAAGTCAAAAGTTTCCTTTTCAGAATCCATAAAAGGTAAAATCATTAGCAATTTATTGAAAGCAATACCCTTTACTTTAAACCCCCTCCCAAACGCTGCATACACACCCATTATAAAATAAAACCACCTATAATAAAATTTCTCATTTCCCCACTACATCACAATTTTTCTACAAAATCAAACCAGTGAAATTTTGCAGAAAATAATTTTCAACATTAGCCAAAGTTAATTCTAAATGTATTAATGTATTTGTTAAGCTATGAAAAAGTTTAGACACGCAAAACAAATCCTTAGCTAATTCTAAGACAAGTAAGTGAAGAATTTCCTATTAAATTAGCAAAAAACTAGCCTAGAATTGGATGCAGACATTCTACAACAATGGATTATTTAAGAAAACACAACAAAACCTGAAAAAAATCCATCTCAAGAGTCATTTGAAGGCAAACGATCAAAGATAGTTTCTCCTATGCATATCTTCCTGTAGAATCTGAAGAAAGAGCTACTCGCAGTTATATAACACAGATATTTTAATGACACATACTATTTGTATTGTTACTTATATTTCTATTGTTACCAATAACCAAACTAGGAGATTTACATTGCTGTCATATAAACACTTCTGGAAAATGAGAGTATTTTTATACTTACTCTTTATAACGGACACCAAAATTTAAGTTCCTTAAATTATTGAATATACTTTTTCATAAGTATAAAAAACATTTACAACATATGTCTATACAATAATTTGAATAGAACCAGTTTATATACTGAAAAATATAGAGGTCATAAACTTTTAAGAACAAGTGAGTATTTCCACAGGGACATACAAATTCATACCTAATAACCCTCATAAAAATACCAGTTAAATGATTTTGTTGCCTAGTATTCTTACAGTATTTAAATCTTCTAAAAACACAGTAAAACTACCAAACTAAGAGAAGAGCACTATCAGACAAGAAAAATTTTTAGCAAATGCATGCTGCTGCTCTTATGACATTCTTTATTTCATCATTATCGACTGGTTTAAAAACTTGTGTTATTGCAGTAGCTTTAATAAGTAGTAGACTGCTGCCCACTTATCACATAACCCTTTACCATCACTATACATTTTAGGTTTCTCACCTTGTCAATCATTTTACGGGCTTCCATTTCTTCAGAATTGGGATTTTCCAACTCAATAGTGTAAGTACCTTTGTCACTCTGGTCATCCTCATTGTCCTTTTCAGTAGCGACAGAAATATGCTGGCTTTTCAACTTTTTGTCCATCTCCTGGTTCTGATTAGGCCTATGGCCAAGACTTCCCGAACTCCTTAACAACACAGCTTGTAAGGCAGGTAATGCAGCAGAGGGTTCTTCTGATTTTTGTTTTAGAAGTTTGGCATGAACACCATGTACTGCTCTGTGATGTGATGAGCTGGTTTGCACAGATGAAGGGACTGCTTTCTCTCCTGATGTAGGTTTCACTTTTTCAGCTCGTGTGTGAGGTGTTGGAGATGGAGATTCTGGGCACAGAGCTCCTACATTCTGAGAAAAAGAGTAAGAACGTCTCTTTCGAGGATGGTCTTCATCAAAAAACTCAATCATAAAGGCAGTCTGACTCAAACTGCCTTGCTCTTGCTGCTTTTCTGTGGAATGGACTTTCTGGTGTGACTTTTTCAGCTCTGTATGATGATGTCTTAAGTGCTCTTCAAGTGCTGCCCGTTTACTGTAATGCCGGTGTGCACCAATATTTTCTGAATCACTTTGTGTACCATCATCATGCTTATTCCCTACAAGTAAAGCAAAAGAATATATAGCACAATGAAACAAAGAAAGACCCAACCCAACATATACAAAAAAACTCAAGCAGAAAACTAGAAAGGAAACGATTTCAAACTGGACTTCTCTTTCAACTCCAACAGCTTTCAGTACAAATTTCTCAGCAAATTTTGTACAGTTCCTGGAAAGGCAGTCAGTTTGCTGCAAGTCTAACAATGAAACACATTAGAAGCTGACCAGTAACAGGAGCGCATTTGAATTACCGTTTTCACCAATATTCTCATCTGTGAACGCTTATCATTGATACACAAAAGTCAGTATTTTACCAGCTGTAGAACAGCATGTTTTCAAATCATATTAACTTTGTTACACAGTGTGTTGATTACAAATGACTACTGACACATTCTAGGCAGGGTCAAGAGGAAAAAGAAAACCTTAAAATAGCCCTTCTGGTAGCGGAAATAAAACATTGAGAGCCACAGTTCATATTGTTGGATTCCTCCCACATTTACCATAGTTTATCATGAGAAATGTCTACTCAAAACTGAATTCCTTATTACACTTCCCAAGAAGAATAAGTTTTTCCATCATTCACCCCACTCAGTACCTGACATATGCATGTAAAATGGTTATTACTTATTCATTTCACAAACTACTGTGAGATTTATGAATAAGGATTATTTAATAAAACATGTATACTCCTATGAATACACTTTGCAATGATACCTGAAAAGGTAAGCATGGAAGGCTGGAACGTTGTAAGTCACATTTAACACACAGCAACTTCATGTACAATGACAGTGTCTACGCTCCTAAGTCTTTAGCTTAGTTCCTGGAAAGGAACAGTTTCACGTTCTTTGAACTCTTCTGGATCAAATCTTGCTCATGCATATATAGAATGTACAATTTGTAAATTTTTTTTATTCTCAAGAGGATAGCTTTTTTATGTTTTCTCACTTAAAACAGTTAAGATACACAGTTATTATTCAGTTAAATAGTAATTATATATTGGCTAATCTTACTTATGAGAATAATAGCACTGAAAACACAGCTGAAATCCCAACTTACATTCCTGTTTTCTACTTTTTGGAACAGTGCCTACAAAAATTATGGGATGCTTCATATACTTCCAAATAATAATAGTAAACAAAATTAATACCACAGTGAAAGCCATATAACATAATTTTACTACTGGGACTTTATTACAGAATATTGTAAGAAAAAGCTGAGGACAAAAAACCAGTAAGTTTTGTTTTGTTTTGTTTTTTAAATCGAACTTTCAGAGCAGTTAGGTATATTCTTTACTGAAAAATACAAGCAATGAGTGAGAATACAAGCAGCTCATAAAAGATTACGAAATTCACATATTTACTATGGCCATATGCACCCCATAACTTACACCTCTTTCAGATGAAAATTAATCAGACTTTGAGAAGCTTCTGCCAGGAAAAGGATTATAAACAAAGCCTCCTTCCTATTTATCCAAGTGTCATGGCTAATATTTAAAGAATGTTCATGAATACAATACAGTACCATGAAGACCAAAGAATTCTGTTCTGTGACATACTCTGGAAGAAATAATAAACTATTATTTTAACGCTAGCACATTAATATAATTCTGTTTACAGAAATTTTTTTAGGTTAATTTGGAAGAGTCAGTCTTAAAAAAGCAGACTTTTGATGAGTAAAAGAAAGCATGTTGTACCAAGTCCTAGCTAGTTTAAGAGCTAGACATGATAATGTTGTAAAATCAGGAAAATGAGAATTGAAGGGTTAACCCACTGAAATCGAAAACAGAAAATAAGAGACTTGAAAAAATTCTTCAGAAGTTTTAATTTTGAAAGTTCAAATGGCACTGCAGTCTTCATCTGAACACTGAAACTACTTTATTCTCTATTCCGCTAAGTGGCATTCAAAAGAAAGTACACTTATCATATTTAACATTTGATTTAATTTTATTTGAAATGTCACTGTCTGCAGTAAATGAACATTTATAATCACTTGGAACTGCATTCAAGAGTAGTACTCTTATAAATACAATATTCCACAAGCTTAGTATAAAAATTGAAGCTCTCGGTTTATTTCAGATTTCTGACTCAAACTTGACTTCATCAAATACGATCCATTTAAGCAGAGTAACTTCATGATGTATTCTTTGCCATAAATGATTTTTTTAGAGCATATGAATATTCACAGAACATACGCTATTGAAAGAGTTGCTAAAAGCATAAATTGAACTTCAGAGCTTTGATTCTAAAAAGCAATTCAGCTTTTTAAAGTAATGCATGGGAAAAACTGAAATAAAATTTAACTAAGGTTTGGATTTTTTCCTTTTAATTTTCAAGATCAATGTTTTAAATAGCTGATGCTTTCAGCTGTACTAGAACATCTCCAACTATTATACTCACTGTAAGAGGATTTAGTGTTTGGTTTCTTATCCTATTTTTAAGACTTAATACTGCAATAAAATTTCCCAGCCCAGATCCTTGTGCACATGTGGAGTACTCGTCATTTCAACTGAACTCCGCAAGGGCTCAGGGATCCTCTCACTGGCTGCTGGTGAGGAATCGTTGCTTTCAGAAGCAAGCATAGCTGGAATCATTCACTTTACCTTTCAGCCTCTTCAAGTACACTGGAACGTCACTCTTAATACTTTTGGAGTCCTCCTCTGTTGGTTCCCATATCATTCTGGGAGGATTGTTCTGCGCTAGCCAATCTGCTACTTTGCTCTCTGCAGCCATCATCACTGTTTGAAGCCCAGGCAGGTCCTGACCACTGGAGGAAGAAGGTTTTTTTGACTTGTGACGCTGTTCCGATGTGAATTTTGTCACGTGATCTTTGATCTTCACTTTTCCAGGAGTGTTGTCGTCAAATTCAATGGTAAAGGAAGCATGCCCTGTGGCTGCTGCATGGGAGCTTTGGGTGTCTTTTGTTGGAATTTCATGAATAGTGCTCTCTGCTACCTGTGAAGCTTGCTGGAATTCTTTGGTAGGGATTTCAAAATAACTTGGCTCCCTACAGAAAGGATAAAGTTCTTCACTTGCAGATGCAGACTGCTCCTCAGCTTGCTTGGCATCTGTGCTGCCTCCTATTAAGAAAAATAAGAAAATAGATTTCACAATACTTGGGAACTCCAGGTTCTTCAAGAATTTTCTGAATTCCTGTAAAGGCCACTTGGGTAATTTCTGGAATAAACAGTAAGATTGTGTAGAAGACTGAGCAAGGTAGTTCTGGAAAAACAATTCCAGAATTATAAATAAAAAGTTTCAAGGAAAAGACAGTTCAAACTTTACCGGTAAGGCATATAAAGTGGTAAAAATCTCACCTAGAATTTGTCAGAGTGCACTCCAAATATTTATAAAAGATGCAAAGGTCAGATGAGTTATTTGAACACGGTAAACAGATAAATCACATCAGATAAATAGTTGAGTTTATCATTATCGCAATTCCAAACTACTGGAGAAAAAAATCAAATCAAGGTGCCCTAAAACAAGTGCTACTGGTCTGGCTTCCATCTCCTGCAGTGGATAGTTAGTATAATTTTGTTTGGTAAAATTCTTCAGAAAAACAATTCACTCATTGATGAAAAATAAATATTAATTTTGGTTTGAAAAGTTTAACACTGATAAGCACGGGAAAGTGTTTTGGAATTCAAACACTTATGTTTCTACAAGGGACAAAACCAAAGAATAGAGCTAAATCCTGCTGTCATCTGCTCTTATTTTACTTGTTTCCTAAATTTGTACATGAACAGAAAAAGAAACAATAGCTGGAAACATGCATAATGTTACCAAGCCATGCTCTCAATGGCTAAAGAAAGCAGAATGTGGAAAAAGCACAGGGTAGTAATTCCAAGTTCCACTGTATAGCTGAACTGAACAAAGGTTAACGCTTCCTGTAGTTGCAGTAAAGTTACCAATGTTCCTTTAAGAAAGCACGCCTTCTGGTTGCATTTCATGAACGAGTAAGCCAGTCAAAATATCTAGTATAGAGATGTGATAAAAGCAACACAAGCTGGAGATGTCAGTAGCAATCCAGGTTAGATTGCAATGAAAGAATTCTGAATAGCTCCTATGTGATTTATCATGGACCACATTAAGACGTATAAGAAATCATTTCAGGTTGCCAAGTAAAGAAATAAGACTGCAATTAATAGATTTCTGGCGCTAAAAATAGCCACACTATATCAGCTGAGACAGTTAATATTTTTCTATGAAACTATTGTGCAATAAGGGAGCAACACAAACCTTTATACTGAAGTCAGGAGTTTAAGTGGTAAAGGATGTAGGATGTTGTAATGCACTTATGCTGTTCCTCACAAACACAGGCATTTTGTGAGGATTTAGAAAAAGGTTAAAAATAAAAAAAATAACAAGGATGGCAATTTGATGTAGAGAAATATACTTTTTAAGTGAAAGAATAATAGCTGGAAAAGTTAAAAAAATAATGATGTTATGGAGAGGAAACAAAAATAGTACACATTCTTTATTATTGCCATGTTTGGATACCAACTGGATAAAATAACTCTGATGCAGGTAACATAGCTTTTTTAATTAATTTTTTCTAATAACAGCTGTTGGAAACACAAAAGATATTCATAATTCAGACAGGTTTTTCTATTGTGCTGTTGCATTCTTAGAACTTCCTAGCTAACGCTTTTCACTGCACTATCAGCTACCTTATGTCTGTGGGGCAGTTTTCAGACACTGACAGTACCTCACTACTCCTCTCCCTGGGAAACAGAATGTCTTTTAAGTACCCTTCCTGAATACAATTATGCTGCCAGACACACAATATAGAATGAATCGATTTTATTGATGGAAAGTCCATTAAAAAAGCTTCTGTGTTTATACAGAAAATGTACAGAAATGAACAAAAATCACACCTTGCAGTTCCTAGATTTTAGGTAAAGTACCATCCCTCTCCATTTGTTTTATTTAGCTAACAAGCTGGAATGGATCAAGCTCTAGCAGGATCAAATCTAGAGCCCGGATCCTTACAATATGAAACACTGTCAATGAACAGGAGAGTAATCTAATCCACCACAGAGCCGATTCATAGATATCTTATTTTTTCCCCTGCCATGGTTCTACTCAGACTTTGAGTCTACAATTTCATACAACTCCAATTTAATTCCAACTCCAAATTAAGCAAGTGTTCAATGCTCCTTCAAAAGATAACTGCTAATATAGCGTGTTTTGAGAAATATTTCTACTTTTGGGTAAGGCAGCAGCAACCTACTGGCCACACAAAAAACATTATTTTTCAGTAAATATTAAACAGCGGTTCATAAACATCTTTTGAAAATCACAAGATTTTAGCCATCTGCATCGGATGTATGGCAATGAGGGGATCTCTAACACTGGTTTATCAGCATTAATGAAGAACTTAATGAAAAAATTTTCCATGTGAAACATGCCTGCACCAAATTTAACACCTGAAATCAGTTTATACGATGACATGCACCGCATTTGATTCCAATATTTTTAATTAAACAGATGCTAGAATACAGTTTGAATCTAAATTACGACAGTTTAATCAAAAGAAGTGAGAAAGTGAACTACAACTAAATTGTAAATTTTACTAAACCAGAAAAGTTTTTAGAAATTATTTAAAGAAAAATACGCAAAGTTAATTTTAAGTACTTAAAAATCCTATTTTCAGTCTGAAGTACTTGCATTTTTAGAAGAGTTAAATACATCAGAATTGATTAGGAATAAGGAACTGAAAACAATGAGGAAAACAAAAAACTAATACAGATCCTAATCTGAACCACCCTTCAGTATTTTTCACCCAAATTCTAAATGCAAGTCCTTACAGCTTTCTAAATATTAGAGAGTGATCTATAAAATAGCCTTACCTTTGAAATCCTATCATAAAATGTCATCTGCCAAGATGAAGGAAATTATATATTAAATAAATACAGACAACTTTAAGAGAAAACCCTTAAGCAAATACTGAAGATAGCAGTAATCACAGCTCTATAATATTTTAAACAGAATAAGTAGAGTATCCGTATAGCAAAAAAAGCAATTGCATGGAACTGGAAGTGTGTTTTGGGAAAATGAGGGGACAGCTAGGTTGTGAACTGCAATCTCTTCAGGGACTGAAGAGATTTCTGAACTGGTAAGAGTGAAAGAAAAGAGACAGAAAAAAGTAGCAGGATATCTGTTCATAGAGATCTCTCATTCTAAAAAGACAACTGTGCAACTCTTTCTACAAGGCAAGTAAGGAAGCAATACTGGTAGCTGCTACAAAGGTGTAGTCAGACTATTATTGAAACAATGAGTTTGTGTGAGACTAGGAGGGAAACTGTGTAATATTTGAGAAATCATAGGCTTAACCAAAGGGAGATTCAGGGAGATCCTTTACTAGAGAACATGTTTTATGAGGAAAGGTTGAGAGAGCTGAGTTTATTTAATCTCAAGAAGAGGAGGCTCAGAGGGGACCTCATCGCTCTCTACAGACAGCTAAAAGGAAGGTTGTAGTGAGGTGGGGACTGGTCTCCTCTACTGTTCCTGCAGTGAGAGGACCAGAGGAAATGGCTGTACGCTGAGACTGGGGAGATCCATATTAGATATTAGAAAAAAAAAATTTCACAGTGTGGGCAGGCATTGGAATAGGTTTCCTAGGGAGATGGTGGAGTCACCACCCCTGAAGGTGTTCAAGAAACATCTGGAGCTGGGTGATTTGGTTTAGTGGTTTAGGGGTTACAGTGGTAGTGCTGGGTGGATGATGGGATTGGATGATCTTGAAGGTCTCCTCCAATCTTGATAATTTGATTTGATTCTATTCTACTCTATCCTAATCAGAGATGATCATCAGCAATGGTCACTTTGTGACATTAGCAGAGTTGATTACAATCTGTAGGACTTTTGGGGTTTTTTAAGTCTTATTTCTCAAGTTACACACACAAGTAGTCAGAGTCTGAAAATTTTACTTGCCAACCTGGACAAGAAATATCATAGGTGTCTGTGCCATTCAACATAAACTATCAGATATGCAAAAAACTGCCTGTGTATATGAATATATTATCATCTGCAAAAAAAGGAAACCTCAGAAAATATTTTTCACAGTCTTCAGATTTTTAGTAGTGCTCTTTCTGCCTTAAAAATACAATTTTAAGAATAAAACTTGTAAAAGAAAATGATCTGGAATTCACAGAGCATTTATTGAAAAAATGTCTGTAAACCTGGAGCAATATATTTATTTGCAATAGGTATAAGAAGCAGCCAAGATACCATATGTACACAAAATCCCAAAATATTTTTAATGTTAGTTTTTTATTTGGCACTGTGCAATGATATGTGTAACGAAAAGAAGTTGAAGTTAGTGCTTTCAAGTGCTTAACAGAATTGCTTTTTTTCCCCTTTCTCTTTCTCTTCATATTTTTCTTTCTATTTCCCACTTACCATTCAGGTTCTTTTTTTTTTGCTTTAAGGTTGAATCACATTTTTCACTTTTTAGTTAAAGACAAGATTGAAACAAATGCATTTAATGATTCACATGGTATTAAATAAGATCTTTGTCTTTTAATGTTGTCATAACCAGTCTTATGAAAAAATATTAAAATCGGTCTCTCAAAATAAAAATATAAAACAGCATTGTATATTAATTCCCACCTCTCATTATAAATCACTTAACTACCTGCTTTAAAGCAGTTGAAGTGAAAAAAAGGTAGAACTAATTTTACTTAAATATACTGGTGTGACAGCTCTAAAAGGTTCTATAAGCTCCCCATGACATACCACACAGATTTGCTGCTAGAGCTTTGCAAAGCAAGCCTTACATATGCAGCACATATGCAGCATTTGCAAGTACTCCATGTCAAAACTCAGCAAAATTCTAGAGCAAACTTCTAGAAACTTTACTGTTAAAACTAGTGATTAAACATCACACATTACAGTGTGTGTAATCTCCTACACACACTGATTACACTGGTATTTCTAAAATAACTCTCAGCCTGCTTTACCTGAAAATGACACTATTTCTTAAATGTAAGGAATGTTTAATCTGACATATTGTTATGTAACACTGAAATTAAAAGAATACTTCATGTCAAAATGGAAAAAATTACTGCAGATTATTAGGAGTCTGCTTAAAAACTTACTTTTCTCTTCTTAGATTTCTGATAAAGAAATCAGCTACTACTGAGATCAGCACAGAATGTAGTTTTTGCTTTTCCAAGAAGTGAGAGTATAACACATGGCAATAATAATAATTACTCACCCAACAAACTTGCCAATAACATGAACATTTAACAGCTGCAGCATAAAGTCACAGTAGAGGTGTGACTTCATTTTAATATGGACTAGTAGATCTATGGATCATTAAATTATAGTAACATGCATGTCAAAAAACTTTTTTCTTTTTAAAGTTTTTCAGGCTATTCTGTTCTGTTTGCAAATAATTTTCATTAGTGAGTTTCTGTTGGGATAGAAATACAGTAACATTGAAATAATCTTATTAACTTGAGACTGTAAAGATTAATCGTATAGTTGGCTTAGCAGAAACAAATCTCCCACTTCTATCTCCTCATTAAACCTTGCCCCATCTCTTAGAATTCATGCCCATATATATTTGTTTATATTTTAAAAATAACTAAACATGACAGTCTTCTGAAGTTTCTAATTTTCTTTTGTACAAGTGTTTCTTTATAATGATTTCCTATCATTACAATGATCTACATTATAAAACCTAAGTACATGAAGAAAAAACATACTAACTTGTTGACAATAAGTTAGTTTTCATGGCATGTAATTGTAGGCCAAAGGGGCCCAAAAAGCTTATGACTTTATTCCAAAATTGCATGAAAACATTCAAAAAATCTTTTGCCTGCTTCTACACAGACGTTTTGTTCTGAGATTGAGGAAGTGTGTCCATAGAAGCAAATGTCAACTCTTATCAGGTTTGCCTTCTCAGACTCTCTGCCAACACTGTTAAAAAATACCTATACCAGCAACAACCAGACTAGTGGAACATACAACTAATGTCTACTCAGAGATTAAGTCTATACAAGTGACTTTAGTTCTACATCCTGGCAAATTAAATGGCTTTACAAAAATACCAGGTTTTGGATTTTTCCCAGCAGTGTCTTCCTATACCATTCCACATAATGCTTTTGTTTAGTATGTGCTTACTCAAGCTGAATTTCATTCTTACAGATTTATGAGTCTTTCAGTTTCAGAAAACAAAAGCTATTCCTACACTCCACTTAGACCAATACTATTCAGAGGAGATAAATTCATGATGAAACAAAAACAAACATAAAAGGGATTTGCAATATTAAAAAAAAAATTGTATTTACCAAGAAGGCTTTGGGCCCAAATTTAATTTTTATAGCATATACACATATATATATATGGAAAATAAACAAATTGAAATAATTTAGAAAACATTAATCCATTTTCTCTGTTCATCATTTAACTTATGCTGACTTAGCTAAGGCAAATCATGTCAAAAATACCCCCAAGGGTCTGTCTAGAACAAACTTATTTTTGTCTACTATTGAAACAGATGGTATCTTTGTGATTAGTTTGAGAGGAAGCTGGAATCTTATTTTTCTTGGACCTCAAGAACTAAGACAGAAGCACTGATCACTTACTGAAAAATCTCTTGATAACATAAATACAAGAGCATGCAAACCATTTGAAATATTGCTTCCGAAAAAGCAATTTAAAATTATAAAAATAATAGATACATTACTATATAGAAGCTGGAATCTTGTGTCATACCTTCTTAATGGCATGGCATTGCATCAAAACCACAGACTTTGGGATAATACTTTTTAATAATCCCATATTTAATGAGGGCAAACAATATGCCTGTTTTTGTAGATAGATACACGTGAGTAAGAAAAACTTGATGAATTCTTACTTTTGTTATATTAGTTTGCTACAGACATCTAAGCAATAAAACCACAGATACTACAGATTTTACCATCCCTGTTTTGGCATGTACAGCAAGATACTTAGTCAAAGGTTTCATAGCCAAAAGTTAATGCTTCCCTGCACTCCGGAAAGCAAGGAAAATCACATGGCTAGCAAGTGTATCAATGACATGACTCAAAGGCAAAAACTTAATTCTTTTTCTTTGTAAATGATGGCATACACACTTTTCCTTTTTGTTGCCAAAAATGGAAGTGGAAAAACATCCAGCAGTCATTGTCTCTCATTATTACTGCCATTAGGAACAAAATTTCTATTCCTTAGGAATGCTCAGAAGTGTTTGAAGAGCACTTTCTAGACAGATTTGAACTGTAAAGCTATAAATTATTAATGTAGGATATTAAACCTGTAGTTAAAAAGCCCCCACAGGAGCACACAATAGCATACTCTACTCAAGGTGAGTACAGTAGATGTTTATCCTCAAAAAAACAACCAAATAAGAAAATGTTCTATAACTATACTGCATTATGATGCAGTTCTTTTATATGTGAAAAAAATTGTTTAAGTTGTGCAAAAATGGTCACTAATGTAAATTATTTCCTCTGGTTTCCTTCTACCAGTCGTAATGTTAAAGGACTTACTTTACTGTCTGAGTCATGACAGCTTTGGAATATTATGAAAAAGGTCACTAAAGGTCATGACAAAAAGTTAATTCCAAAGACCTTGACTTCACTACATTGAAATATTCATTTAGTTTGATTTTAGATTTTAGACTTTGCTTCAATTTCTGCAAAACATGATTGATGATAACCATGGCAATTACTATGACAGGAAGAGAAAAATTCTCTCCTCAGTTAAAGTACTTTAAAAAACTGCAAACTTAAAAACTGTTGGACCCTGAATGCATGTCTAAAGAGCTACACAAACATAGTTGAATTTTGTCCTAACTTGAGTAAGTTTTAAGGTTGATCTCTTTATTAGAATAGCAGCCACTTTATTTATATGCCTGACGATAGATAAAAGCCTAATTATAGACACAGAGATTGAAGTTTTGGCAATACAAACTGTGTCTAGACAAGCTAACGAATTAAGGGGTCTGTATTATGGGGAAATAAACATCACTAGTTTAACTTCAGACTATACAAATCTTCACTGCAAGAATTATGAAATGCAATTCCCACTAATACAGCATTGTTGAATTACAGAAGATAATGTTAGCACAGATCACCTTATATAGCTAAAAGTCAAACATAAATATAAACCAGCACCATTTATTCTCAGAAACTATTTTGATAAAATATTCCTATGCATATAAAATGACAGATACGGATTAAACTGAAAAAGAAGACATTAGATCAGGCAATGTTATTTGCTATACATACTGATAGAAAATTTTATTATATACTAGAAAACTGACACGCTATATGTGAAATTGGTCTCTGGAAATCCAGTTTCTCACAAAATGTTTTTAAACTAACTTAAAATTTACTTAAAAACTAACTTAAAATTTTTAAGGTTTTCATCTTCCACACTATGAAACTTCCGAACATTAATACCTGTTTAGGTCCCTACTTAGGAATATATGCAGTATATATAAATAATAAAGACAAAAAATCCACACAAAAATAAGACAACACTTACCTGAAGCCCCTGCCTCATGCGTTTTTTCTTCATGCTTGCTATCTGGTTTACAGACACTTTTATCATCAGCTTCATCGTCACCCCACCAGGCTGGCTGTCCATACAACGGTGTCCCACGAGGCATGGCAGAAAGATCTATAAAATTAGCCCAAAGCAGAGGAAATTACTCTTCTGTTTACTTGAGATATTTAGGTTAAAGTAACATGAAGAGAAAGTAATTTGCTTGGATCATTTCTCCTGCAAGTTGAAGTGAAATGGTTGCATGCATTTGCCTAAATACAAAACAAACTTGGAGGCTGGATAACTGATCTGGGTTCTAAATATAAAAGCTTACTAACGACCTGATCAAAACTTCTGGCACAAATGTTTCAGCAAAGGCAGCTGACATCTCTTATTGTCACCCTGATATATCTGTAAACATTATTTCTTCTTTCAGTTTGAAGTCATAAGGATAGCAGTACATTCCTAAAAGCTGTTTGCTACTATTTCTGTGAGAAGATTCTCATTCTTACCCACACTGACCTTTCAATGAAATCTGAACGCACTGCATGAAAAACTGATCAAATTTTGCAATGTTGCCAAGGTTCCAAATTGCTGACAGCTACTACACAGTGCTGAAAGTTACCTTGTGTGTAAAACATTACTGAGCACAACCAGGTTTAAAGGTTGGGGGTTTTTTAAAGGTATTAGTTAATTATAGTACAATTAAAAGTGCTGTTTCTGATATAGAATGTATACACATGATTAAATATATTTAAATGCAAAGATTAAATAAGAAAAAAACCTGATATAATGAAGATTTCTACTCTGATGATAAATTGACTGGATTAGGTTTGATCTGATCTCTTGGAAGAACATTTAACTCTATAGAGATTTAGCTATTCTAGCATTGCACAGATGTTCTGAATATACTTCAGAGAGTCTTTATATAAAAAACCATGATCTTTTCAAATCTTGCTTAGGAGTTTGTCTGTTAATTTAGCTATTATGAATTTCGGGGTTTTTTTCAATGTTTTATACACTTGCATTCCAAAGATGCTTTCATAGCCATGCCAAAAGTTTCAATATGATTGACATTAGGTACTTCTGCTTTTGAACAACATTATACTTTAGTCAATACTCAGTTGTTTTTAAGAACTTAATGGTTGTCCAGAGACTTTGTGGATGACCCATCCCTGGAAGTGTTCAAGGACAGTTTGGATGGGGCTTTGAGCAACCTGATCTGGTGAAAGGTGTCTGCACCCATGGCAGGGGAGTGCAACTAAATGATCTTGAAGATGCCCTCCAACCCAAACCATTCTATGATTCTACACCTGTGCACTGAATTAGCAATAGTAGACAGCTATGCATATATATAGCAACAGTGAGAGAATCAACCCCCAAAAAACTTGTGAGAATTGCACTCAAATATAAATCACTATCATTAAGTTTGACTGTTATTTTTGGAAGAGTGAAAAGAAAAACAGAAGATGAGAAAAAACCCACTGTGCTACTTTATGTAGCCTTAATATGATGCTAGATCAGCCAACAAAACAAACAGGTTAATTAGTTATACCACAGAATCTTATGTGTGGGGAAGAGAATTTTTTCAAGTGTATCTTCTAGAAGAGTAGATTAAACCTAAAAAAACTGCACAGCCTTGACATAAGAAATGAGACCTAGACAGTTCCATAATAAAGAAACAACAGCACTTGATTCCTTTCTTATTCTTGTGGTTATCTCCACTACATTTCAACCAGCCTCACACTGAAGTTCATCACAGAATGAGAGAATGGTTTGGGTTGGAAGGGACCTGCCATGGGCAGGGATAGGTTGCTCACAGCCTCATCCAACCTGGCCTTGAAAACTGAGATGGATGGGGCATCCACAAACTCTCTGTGCAACCTGTTCCAGTGGCTCAACACTCTCCCAGTAAAATATTTCTTCCAAACATCTAATCAAAATTTCCCCTCTCTAAGTTTAAAATCATTCCCCCTTGTCTTATCACTATCTGCCTGTGTAAAATTTGCTCTCCCTCTTTTTTATAAGTCCCCTTTAGGTAATGGAAGGCTGCTATAAGGTCTCTTCAAAGCCTTTTTTTCTCTAGGCTGAACAACTCCATCTTTCTCAACCTGTCTGCTCTGATCATTTCTGTGGCTCTTCTCTGCACTTGCTCCAACAGGTCCATGTCCTTCTTATATTGGGGGCCCCTGAGCTGGACACAGTACAACCCACACAGAATTAAGACGCCTGCAGAAGAGTCACCATGACACATTACACAAATATGAAAGATGAAGTAGAAACAAGACTGAAGCTACAGCAGTTACAAATTTTTAAACCACAACAGACCGCTTAGGTTCTATCCTGATGCATGCTACTAACTATAAAACAAACACACAAAACTCCCATCCATTTAAAAAGAAAAACAAAAGAAACCAAACCAACCAACTGAACAAAATGGTAGGTGGTAGAAAGTACAAACTGTTTCTGAACAAATACTTTCAGTTAAACTGTAAAAATTAGCAATTTTCTGCCACAAATCCTGTAAGTTTGTGATTTTGGGAAAGAGACATGTAAAAATCTTATAAATGCTGATTAAATCTCTCTTTAAAAGTTTATGTGGATGTTACTGTAAAAAAGGCAGAAATTCAATTCCAAAACTTCTTATTTTAAGTCTGTTTAAAATTTCACATGTGTAAATTTTACTATCTACAGATTTTCACAAGCATCCTACCAAAGCAAATTAACATCCTTTCCAAGTTTTTGTGCTTCTGCAGCTAAGAAATGAACCTTACCCATTGATTTTTCTTCAGATTTCAGTGCTTCTGTAGTTTTGTGGTGCACTTCAGCTGTGGAGTCTGTTACCTTGGACTCCGGGCTTTTGGAGCTGCTTTGCTTCGATCCTTCTGCCTCTGAAGACTTTTGGGATAACTGGAGTTGGCTTGTGAATTTTTCATGCTACATGATGTTAAATAGAGAAAAAAACCCACAAATCCTCAAGAAGTGGGAAAACAACACCTATATTACTAATAACTACACAATGACAGAAGAACATCCAGGAACTGCACATTGTTACCTTAAGTGCTTCTTCAGGGACTCTCATCTCTCCCCTGACAACAGTAAAAAGATTAGTATGTAGGAAATGATAAGGAAAATACTGAAAAATTTATGAATTCACAAGAGGATTTTACCGAAAAGAAAGTTGTGCAGACTATTCTGCCACTGGAATGGTGACAGCTTTTACAAATATGTCACTGTTAGGACTATCATGCACTATCATACTCATCAAAGTAAATGCACGATGAAATTATTTACTACTTGTAAACAGAACACTGACTGGATACCTTAATGTTGTAATAATGTAAATAATTTTTTCATTCTGTACTTTGTTGAATAATTACTAGTAACCTTCTCTGCTCATACACAACTGCATATGATATAAATATTTGTCTATTTGCCTCAAAGAAAATTAATATTTCTTAGCAACACAGAAGATACGCATTAGACTTTAAACTGTAATTGGAAGTTGAGGTTTCTTGCAGTGAGAGACAATGAAATGTACTTTATCAACAGTTCAGACCAAGATACAGTTTTCTAGACTCTGAGATTTTTTCTAATATAGGCATTTTTGTAGTTATGAGAGATAAATATTTCAAAGTTCCTTCTCAAGTAGCATGAGAACCCTTCACTTAACACAACCATAGTTTTAACAAGAAAAGTATGTCCTGACACTGCATTTCATGGCAAGGATATCATATCCAAATCTCAATTTATCTTCTAACTTCAGAGTGATGTATGTCTGTTCTGGAATCCTTACATCATTCACAAATGTCTACAGAAAAAAAATGAGGAGAGAAAAAAATACTGTTAAATTCCAAAATAATAAAATAACATCAGTTAAATAATTTTATAAGAAAGTTTTCAGCACCACAAATTTTCTACTGGTGATTTGGCAGGGAATTATAAGGTTAAATTGCCATCTGTCTTACAAAATATGACAAAAGAAAGGTTAAACACCAACTGCTAACCAGGTTGCTGACACTACACCACCCTTGAAAAGTTTCTTCCAAGTTTAATCTTGTTAACAATATTTAGTAAATTGTTGATTAATGTTCCCTCAAATTAGCATCTCTACTTATAATTTTTCTTGCAGTCTCTTTTTCCAACCCCAATTAGCTGTCAGAATTGATTGATCACTATATTTGTATGGCATTTTGCATTGGATATGAGAGTTCTGAGGTAGCTTATTTCTAATCACTGTCAAAGGACTTAAAGAAAACATGGACCCAGTTAGTGCATCTGAGTAACTCCAAAAATCAGCTACAAGAATTCAATATATTGCAACTCTTAAAAGAGTAGATATAATAATATTTGTAAGCAAAAATAACATTACTATAACAGCTAGCAGTAAAGCAGAGCAAATTTCATAGCCTTGACAATACCTAGTGAAAATTCAGGTACTGTACAATAAATAATCCTCCCCTCCTTGAAATCACATAGTTGGAGAAATCAAACAAGCTTTCAGTGATTTGGAGAAGGACTTATGTACCTGAAGGTTTGCCCAATTTCACCAGTCATATCAGTTGGTTGTTACAGGCACTACAGATTATCCATCACTGTGATTTCAAGGTCCAGATTAAACAGAACAGTGAAAAACAACAAGGAATTTGAAAAAATTATGGTGGTATAGATTTCAAGAGAACACCTGAGATATAGAATGACTAATTACAGAGGCAGCAAGGACAAATAATACACATTCAAGTCAAAATGGATCTCAGATACAATTCGGAAGAGTCGGAAAACAATTTCATCTCTGTGGGAAAAAAATTAACTGAACATAAGTAGGGCTTAAAATTAGATTATTCAAACCCTAAAGAAAATTGCAGAAAGTCACCTACATAAAAGTCTGAATCAGGCACAAGCCTTTGTAAAGGACCAGGGGGAAAAATGGTTTATTCCTTCATCAGAACTGTCCCGTGTCTTTAAGGACTGATTTACCAGCTTAGGAAGGCAGGCTGTCAGCACCAGGCCAACTACCCAGGTTGAGAACATCAGCAACACTCGAAACTGCTTGTGGTCACTTCAGATACCAGAAATTAAGGATGATGACACACTAAGGTAGGAGTGGGCATCAGGACCTGAGTGTGCTCTTCTCACAACTTGCGCTTTTGCCATTGGAGGGGATCCTTAAATCTTTAGTTAGAGACTTCTACAAGAACTTGCCACCTCATAAAGGCAGATCTCAAAACGACCCTTCTGCTTATCCCAGGTCATATCACTGCTTCTACTACTCTCCAAATGAGGCTGATTCACTACTATGAAAGCGAATTGTTTCTTAAACTGAATTTGTTACCTTCAGAGAAAACTGAATTGTGTCAATATCTTATGGGTTCACTCAGTGAGAGAGAAATATAAAAGGGTAAAGACAAGTTTTGTATAGCAGAATAGAATATTAAGCTCTCAATTAAACAAATTAGAGATCAAGCTACAAAAAAACCCACAATCAAAACAGTAAATGTAACTCTGTATAATATTTAAGTCATTTTTGGAGATACAGATCCTTGAAGAATCTTTATAGAGTGGGAGATGACAAAAAACTTCTGCACAGCACTTTCGTTAAACTACTCCTCAAGGTTCAATTCAAATCTGCATTAAGAAGCTATAATTTACACTCTAAGCTACTCTCCCCAACATTCTCCCCTGGTTTTCTTGAAATCTTCCCCCTTCTTTTACCTGAAAAGAATGCAACAACTGGACTTATAAGAACACAGTATCTTCCTGGTAAGAAATGTGAATAATTAGGTATATGTCAAAAGTTTCTTTTTCCTCGGTGTGACTTCCTTCATCTTATTTTAATATATAAAATGAAGCTTTAATTTAGGGCAGATTTAAGGCAAATATAATTGTGGATTGGCTGATATGAGACTGTGTGTTATTTTATGAATTATTTATCAGTTTTATATTTTCCCATAACTGACAAAAAATGTACAGCTCATTTTTACTTTTCATAACAACTACATGTTAATACTACAGATAGGACATTAAATATCCAGAGTGCCTTTCTAAGGCATGTCTACTACTGATTTGTGCCAGTTTTGGGGACTCAAAATAATGCAACTCCACGGGATCACCCAACTTAAGAATTCTAAAACAACATGTACATGTTTCTAAAGAATGAAGCAACTGAAATATGCCATTTTATAAGCACTTTGAAATTAGGGATGCACACACACACAAGAAAAGCTTAAATAATTAAACAAGCCAAGAATCTGAATCTTTGAATGGTTGTCTTTCTCATGCAAATCTAGTATTAAATGAAGTCTGGAAAAACAGAAACAATGTCCTTCCCCAAAACAGTAAAAGGAAATTTTATTTCCTTTTGCTAAAGGAAAATAATGCCCATTTCATTACTAAGAAATTACCTACTTCATATAAAATATTTTCCACAGGAATAAGAAGAAAAAGTACAACTATCTACTGGTTTGCAAGCATGAGTAGTGTTTAATGCATATTTATTTCACTTTAACACTTTGAGAGCCCAGGGCAAATACCCATGTGAAGACTATCTTCAAGGCAACCTGAATTTTAGCGAACCAACAAAACTTAGGTCATCTTGCAGACACACATGTATATATGTATGTATGCACTTTTCCTCCCTGGTCAGAGTTCTGAAATTGCACATGCAGTATACTCAACTCAGAGAACTCTGAAGACAGTGTGTGCAGTCCACTGACACCCCCATGACTGAGTCGATGGTATACAACAACCAAGTCTCATTTCCTTTGCCACTGGAGCTTTAAGATCTCACCACATGCTTTGGGATGCAAAACAGAAGCCAGCTTGAGAAAGCTAGTTACAATGTAAATAAGGAATCTGTTTCCCCCTTTTTCCCCTGTTAAATCACTCCATACACATCTTTATATATTCACATGATTTCTAAAGCTTTATTCTTCAAATAATGAGAGTCAAATGTCTTTAGGCCTTCTAAAGTTTGCCAAGCTTTTCACAGTGCAGTCCTGAAACATCAGTGTGAAATGACTTTGCTATCCTGTAAATACTCCTGGAAAGAATGTTATTCAACAGGGCCATGGATGTTAATTATTTCTTCTGATAAATTTTTGAGTTCATAAGTCAAAGGAGAAAATACAGTTGATTTCTGTTGATACTAATGAAATAGCAGATTACATCTTAGCAACTGTACACATTTTCTCCAGAAAAGAGGAATTCCTTCATCGTTTTTGTATACAATAGAAGAAAAATAAGATTATCTAGAATAAGTCATGATAGACTATCAGAAATAACATTTTATTTCAAGTAAATCTGATTAAAATTTTAGTTTTGCTTTATTTTCAAATCTAGATGTCTAGGACAAAAATATCTAGATCTAGAAGCCCAGGATAAAGACTGCTGTAGCCTTTTCACTGAACTGACTGTGAATCAACCATGCATACAAAAATATTCAGGTATTAGGGCATCAGGTGCAATTACAGTCCAGCTAGTGAAGTTGGTTAAGACTCATAACACTCAAAACAAACGCATTGGTAGCAGCCATCTCCCCTTAAACTCTGAATTATCTTGAGTGCCTAAAGTGCATTACACCAGGAATGGACTAGTCCTGTATACTAAGAAAATCTTATCTTTTGATGAAGTATACAAAATAAGAAAAGGTAGAAGTTGCCGAAGCACTAGACGAGGCATTTGGCTGTGGTGTCCTCAGTGGAAACAGTAGACAGACTAAAAGAATTACTGCCTAGTTAGCAGTTCACTGCATGGTATTGAGGCATTGCATACGCTGTTCTGTCACACAGTTAATTATGGAGTTACAGAAATAATTACTGTGTTTTCTCTTTTAACCTGAAACCGGGTAGGCAGAGGTATGTAAGAAAAGCATAGAGGGAAAGCGATAGTAAGGAAAGCACTGTGAAGACAAAGAGCAAGGACTGAACTCTTAAGACTTAATATTCTTTGTCCTAAAACTGTGGGAAGAAAGAGTTCCTTTGATGTCTCTGAGTAAACAGTTAAAGAGTAACTGAAGTTTCACCTCAAACTTGAGAATGAATCAGATCAAGCGAAGCAAATCACAAAAAATATGTATGAAGGTCTTTTAAAATATATTTATTAAATTCCAGTTTTGTGACAAGGCAACAAAAATCTGAAGTTATGCCTATTGACTACAGGAGTTAGAGAATTAGGGAATAAAATCAAATGGTTCAGCAAAAAATCTCTATGTGCTGAATTTATTTTTCATCATTGCCTTGATACAGTGCACCAACTTTGAAAACACAGAGGTATATTAAATATTTAAGGACCGAAGCCTTTGTATGTCTACAACTGTTCAAAGGATATAGCCCTTCAGATTACAGTGGTTTCACATGGAGCTGAGACTCTGACTCCTTGGAAGGCTGCGTTAGTTACCTTAAAGTACAGAAAAGCTAATAGAGACAGACTGACAGGAATTTTATTTTGAAATGCACTTCAAGATGAAAGCGCAGTAACTTGAGATTTCTTCATCTATTTTTTTTAAGTATTTGAAAAAGCTATTCGCTATCATTAACTTTCTAAATATTCATTCGAATAAACAATCACAGATGAACTCATGATTTTATTCTGTACACATTCATGACACAGCAAAACATTTAAAGTTAACAACCACAACTAGTGCAAATGAACAGCTCATAAAGAAGTATCTAAAAGGCTACAAAAATATGACAAAGTTACTATATTTTAATTATCTATTGTAATATCAAAAACTTTTATAAAAAGTGATGCTTACCTAGACTGTGGTATACACAATTCCTAGAAAATCTTTAAAATGTAAAATGCCATATGAAACTTTACTTTGCTCATAAAGTTTTTTTTTTCCTGTATTAGTTTGTAATCACTTGACAGAAATTAATCATAGATATTTTTAACCAAAATTACTAAATTACTGAAAAACTAAATAGAGAATTAGTTAAATAGGTTTACATACAACACATACAATGGTTATTGCATATGTAATTTTTTTCCTACATGAAGTACAGTTTAATACTCTTTTCTGTATTATAACAGAAGAAAAAGGAGTAGTATATGAAATAAAACCCATATACTAATGAGACATTTTAGAGATTAAATTTTTTTTTAAACCCATTTGTTTAAATGGTTTTTTTAAGCATATCCAAGATTTTAAATATGTTCAAGATTTTTTTTTCTACAATTCTGAAATACATAAGTATAACATATTCTTTGTTACTGTTCCCATTTTTTTTCCTACTGCCAAGACCCCCTTATTAATGGACTTAACTGCAGTCCTTTAAAAAACATGCAGTGGAAAAACCCTGCAAAGACTACATTTTCCTTCTGAATGTTCCCCCATTTCCAATCTTGCATTAAAAAGATATTAATGTACAATTAATAATTGCTTGAAGAAATTTCAAATAAAACATACAGGAGACCCAGGGAGCTACCAATTTCTGATGTTAACTTACCCCATTCAAGCTGCCCAAATCCTTCACCAAGTGTTCATCCGTAGAGGCATCATAGTTAAGTACAGCATGTTGCTTGTCCACACTCCGTGACTAAATATATATATAAAAAAATAAGGTATGAAGCAAATAGCATTAATGGCTATTTCTTAGAGCAGTGTGATTATTTTCTTTGTACATAGTACATTTATTGAAATTATATAAAAAGTTAGTTGCACATATGAAAAAAGTCACTCTCCAACCCAACTCTGGGTACCCACAGCAGAATCCTAAAATTATTTCAGAATAATTATTTTCTCAGTGTTCTCCAAATACAAGTCAGATCCAGCTATATCTTATCCAAAGATTTTTTTTTCCCAGTTCACCATAGTACCATCAAGTGTTTAATCTAACATCATCATCATCACCTTTATTTCTCTCTCTCAACTACATGCATCTTTCAAAACATGACTATGATTCTAGGGTGTTGCTGTTCTCTCTGAAACACACCATTTCCTGTCACACATCTGGGATAATTACTATAATGTACAAGCATTCAAATTGCTTCTCCTTGATCTCAGTTTCCTGAGCCAATCAGTGATAGCCTCTTCACTAAACATCGGAGCAGTTCCTGAATTACTATTCCCATCAGTTCTGACTCTCCATCCCTTCTTAAGCACTTCAGTATCTATTTATTTAATGAATTCTTTATTTTGCATCCAAACATCAACTCACAGATGAGGAACAATCCTTGTTACCATTTCCTCTAAGAAACAGTTAAGTCCCTCATTCAGCACTTGCTCGTGGCCAAGTGTTGGCAGCCTCAGCTGCTGATGGCAAGCAAGGAAGAGGTGGGGCTGGATGTATGCTTCCTTCACGCATGCATTTGTTGGCACCTTGACATCTACAACAGTTCCCAAGTGAATGGAGCCCACAGCTCATCATCTACAGCTGTACACACTTGATCTCAGTCTGTTTGCCAGTAATTCTGCTAGTGCAGTGTCCCGACATGATGGCATAGCTTCCAACAGCATTCTTTCTAGTTTCAGGTTTGCATCTTCTATCCTTGCTACTCAACTCATTGTTCTATAATATTGCACAGAGAATGGTACATTTCTGTCTAAGACTTCTGTAATTGTTTCTGTACCAGCACCTGTGGTGTGTCAGTTCTAGGAGTCCCAGGTTGCCAGGGCATGAGCCAGTTCAAGGCATCAGAACACACAATTAGTACTCACAAGGAAATGTTTTCACCTTCTCATAATTCCATGTTTATCACCTCATTCCTTCTCCACATCTTCAGACCTCCTATTACTTTCCTTATTTGTTTTCAATTTACTTCCTCATTCTTCCTTTCCATGCCATCTTATGACTGCTCTGCTTTCTCCTCAAAGAAACAAAATCAGTCCTCTTCTGCTTACACTTACTATTTTAGACTTTTCATTTGAGCCAATTTGCTCTGCATTCTTGAGCGGTATGATGGGGCAATGGGGGGGGAAGCAGGATATCAAGGGAGAGGGGAGAATCAAGAAAGAGACAGACAAATGAACAAGTTCCCTGCCAATATGAGCTGCACTAATATACTACATCAGTTGAGTGTTTTTAATGGCATATGAAGATATGGCAGTATAGTTCATTTTCTACTAACTTAGTAACCTTTCAAGTGAAAACAAGTTAGCTCAATACAACCAAATTCACTGGTGTGGGTGTTCTCCTGAGCCTACAATGTCAAGCAAAGATTACACTTTTCCACACTAAAGTGATGCAGCAATACATCAAGAATTACCCTGTTGCTACCTGGGCTCTTGAAAAAAAATCTGAACTTCTTTCAGTGTCGTTCTTCAAATACAGACTGCATTAATAGTAATTTATTTTCTTAACCTTATGTGCTATGTCCTCTTAAAAATACTTCAAAATGGAAATGACAAAAAAAGATCCCCAAAGCTTCATGATACTTTGTCACATCATCTGAAATGTTAAGAATAATTACTCAAGTCTGTGGCTTTTAGAGAAACACTTGAAATTCTGTAGAACTTCTCGGGCTGAGATTACTTGCACATAATTGGACACATTTTTATTAATTGCAGCTGATCTTTACAGGTGCAAAGACTGTGCAAATCTTTTAAATGCCATTTTTCCTTTGGATTTGTTCCTGCAGCAAAAGCAAAAAAGCTCATGGGTCAAGTTTAAGCAGCGAAAGAAACAGGAAGAGGAAGGAAATAAAACAAACCAAGTGATGCAAAGGCAATCACTCACCACCTCCCACAGGCAGCCCAATGTCCAGACAGTATTTGAGTAGTGGGTACCTTCCTCAGAGCCCCTCTCCCTCAGTTTTTATTGAGAAGCACGACATTATATGGCACGGAACATCCCTTGGGTCAGTTTAGGTCAGCTGTCCTCACTGTGTTCCCTCTCCACTTCTCGTGCATCACCCCACACCTGAGACGCTGGAACAGGTTGCCCAGGGAAGCTGTGGATACCTGATCTCTGAAAGTGCTCAAGGCCAGGTTGGATGGGGCTCTGAGCAACCTGGTCTAATGGAAGGTGTCCCTGCCCATGGTACAGGGGTTGGAATGAGATGATCTTTAAAGTCCCTTCCAACTCAAACCATTCTCTGATTAGGAGGAACAGAGCAAGAGAGAATGCCTTGAAACTGTGCACACACTGTTCAGCAATAGCTAAACTATTGGTGTGTTATCAACAGTCACAAATACAAAACACAGTACTGCCTAAGGGCTTCTATAAGAAACAGCCCAGCCAGATACAGTACAAAGATTTATATATGACTGCAGAATGATAAAAATCACAGAATAACTGTGTTAAGACACTCTTCAATTCAATCCAGACTAGTAATAAAATATTCAGAAAACAGAAAATAAATGTAGTCTTCTTTGCAAATAATTACGATATTGTGAATAATGTAGATATTTTTATTTCTTGGAGGTGATTTCCCCATCAAGATACAAAATTTCTAAACATAATGGTGAAAGAAAATGCGTTATTTATCCACAAGCTAGCTGTACTGGAGCAGTTAGTTAAACACAAAGACTTCTCACTATGTTTGAACATATTTACAAAATAACACATTTAAAGCAAATCTGTATTCCCAGATGTGAACAAAACCTCTTTGAACAACAGTGTTAGGTACAGATCTGAGGTCTATCAAGCATGCAATGGAGTTGAAATGCTTTTTATTAAGGCTTTTATAACATGTTTTCTCTAAAGCAATTATGAATAAAAGCATTAAATTTTGCTTTCTTTATCATGCATTGTCCACATGTTTTGCAGTATGAGAACAACTAAGTTGTCAAGAGTGGAAAGGAAGGTCCTACACAAAGAGCTATACATACAGAACAAGAACACATTATTAGCTTCTCTTTTGGTGGGTTCCTCCCCCTGAAGCACTGTGTGGTGTTACAGTCATGCTGGCATGTAGACCTAACATAATAGCAGGCTAAAGAGAATATTCTTGGAAATCACCAGGCCCTTGATTCTTTTTACTAACTCTGAAGTCAATACACAACAAATAACATTTGTAAATAACTTAAATCTATTCATAATATTAATCAAACAGGCAGCTACCTTTGAAGGTAAAGCTCTGTAACACAAAAGAATAAATGCTTCACTCTAAGGACTAATCAACTACAGATGGCATAGCAGAGAGAGAAGAAAGAAAACAGTTCCTTATTCAGAGACAACAACCCTTTAAAACAAGTTACTAGTAAAATACAAGTATTTTTTTATTATACCCTACTCAGCAAGAACCAGTGGGGTGAGGTTTTTTGGTTGCTTTTCTTGTGTTGTTATTTTGGATGTTGGTGGGTTTCCCTTTGTGTTCGTCATTTGTTTGGGTTTTTTTAATATTTCCCACATAAATCACCAAGACATCATCCTGCCTGTCTTTAAAGAGAAATCAAGAGTATTTTCAACTGCTTTCTAACATCATCAATAAAACCTCTGGATGCCTTCTGAGGCTGAGTGTCAAATGCAGTTTACTAGAGATATTACATTCTGAGTAATACACATAAAATTAGGTCTCCAGGCACTTCATTTGCAAGTAAGATTCTAATTTGGCCATTAATGGCTGCATACGTAACTTTTGGGAACAAAAAATTCAAAAGAAAGTATTTTATTGAAGGGCTGGAAGGGTTGAGAATATTAGTTTTGAAGTTCAATCTTCTTAAGGGTTCTACAGAAAACAAAGAAAAGAATTTAAGAAGAAACTCCCAAAATGTTACCATTAACCATTTTAAAAACATATTTTAGAAAAAGGCAGCTCAGAGGACAGCTTTGATAGGGCAAAGTGCATGCAACACAGTACATAACAACACAGTTATACACATCTAAAGTTCTGCATAGTGATCCTCAAAGTTGAGGAAGCTACTAAAGTATAAAGCTGTTTTAACTTGTATATTTACAATTCCACTGAAACTGAGTCATTCAACTTCCTTAGGATAGAGAAATACCCGTCTCCACTAATTTCATTTTCCTTTGTATAACACAATCAGGGCACAGGGATAGAGTTACATCAGATCAAGTGACTAAATTAGATTACAAGTTGCAGAAAAATAGGGCTCTTTTCAAAAGCATCCAGAACACTTAACATTGTTACTTTTTATGGAACACTGTACTTTCTGAACTGATCATATTGTGAAATTTATTTCATCTTCCATTCTGAGTAGATGACTTGAAGAAAATGTGATTCTCTGCACTTCAACAGTAACTGTGTGGTCGATGGCAATATATTTAAACTAAATTTTATTCTATGGACAGAAAAAAAATCACAGAAACAACTGCTCCCACAACATCTGGGGAAATTATTTATCAAAAGGAATACATGAAATTGGTGCATTAAGTTCACAATTTGAGCAGTTGCACGTGGAAGGCTGATGCAATTACCTGTAACATCAGCTCACAGTCATCTCTTCCAACAAAAATCATTTCTCGTGGCAGCCTATGCCGGGTGCCTCCACTGCTCACCAAAAACCAGGATGTTAAGCTCATTTTCTGCTTAGCTGATAAATCCCTGGCACAGTTACGTCATCCTGCAGTGAGAAAGAAAGAGAGACAGAGAAATTCATTTTAGTTATTTTTAGCTACAGATTCTGCTCAGCAAACACTGTGAGCAGAATACAAAAAGCCTCTGAAAATACAGCATTCTCAGTAACATGTACCAAATCCAGCAATCACAGGAAGTGGCAGGCTTCAGATTTACATACTCTCAGGCTGCTTCATGCAAGTAGGCAAATTTAATTGGTAACCTTCTGCAAAAGGAACAAGCAGCTAGCTAATGCCAAAGTCATATGTCAAGTTGTCAGAAAGCTTTTAGCATTTGACTGCTTATTATCAAGATAATTGCTACATTAATGCTTTACTACCACAATCAATAAACAACGTGGCAAACATTCACAAAATACAGCAACTAACTTGCATCTGTGTCATTACATTTTCCTGTAAAAAAGAACAACCTCATCTGGTTTTAAACTCAAGTCCTCTGTACAGCACCAAATGAAAGTTTAAATTAAAGGAACTTTTGCTTCTTATTAACCTCAGATTTTCTCAATAAAACTCTTGGAAATTTAACAGTGCACATCTAGTATTGCAAACAAAGCAGAGGAAAATTAAGAAATCAGAAGTTATCTTGAAGTGACAAATCTGAAAAAAGCACTCCTATAGAACTTCACCTTAATTTTCCATTAAAAAACTCAACACACTATATACTTACACGTAAAATAAAATGCATAACAAAACAAAAATTGAAAACCAGATAAAATCTTTCATGGAAAACTTCTTCACACAGTATGACCTACTTGAAACTGGACAAAAATATGATTAAAAGCTCTCTTCAGAGTATTTCAATGGCTGATAGTTGGAAAAACTTTTAAGAAGTATTCCAAATGTCTCTTAAAGGAAATGCAAGTCAAAGCAATTATTTCATTCATTCATAACCACTCTGTACTCATTAAAAGAGAGGTTAAAGAAAATCAAAAGCAACCAGCCTAGATTTCTTGCAGTACCAAAGAGCTGGCATTTCTCTTCTCTTTTATTTATATGTCATTTAGTGAATTTATGCAAGGTTAACAAATGTACCATAAGTAGACATAAGCCTGTAGTGGACTTGAACACAATGTGTATAATAACAAGAATTCAGCGAGGTCCCCAAAATCGAGACTAACATGGAAGCAGTGACTAAGATAACACTGTTGTGTTAGACCAACTACAATCAAGAAGAGACACAAGTTACTAAAACTTATAAAAAGGACTAAGTCAAAACTGCATGTGAAATGACAAAGCGGATATTTACAAAAGAGTGAGTCAAAAGCACACCATGGCAGGTGCTAAAATGTACCAGCAGAGCTGTCAACAGAATTAAAAAAAAATATTGCAATTCACATAGAAGAATTTAGAATGATTTAATGTGCTAAAGAGTTACTTAATAAAAAAGTAAATACGCATTGCAATAGTGTTCCCTTCTATAATGATACCTATGATAGGATTATCTTTCCACAACTGTATCACAACACATTCTTCAAGTGAAACTTATGTCTACTTATTGTTATCCAACTCAACTAAGGAAGTGATATAGCATCTCTAAAATACTTTATTCCTTGAAACTATAAAGATTAAAAATTACATCTACAATAAGAACTTGCTGAAATAAAATTTAAAGAGATCTAGTTATCAAATAAGTGTTTTAATAATTAAAAGTTTATTCGGCACCTTTAAAGGAATTAATATTTGTATTTTTAATTTTATCTAGTTTAAAACAAGAAGATAAACTGGGTCAATCAAATGACATTTTTCCATTTCCTTTAAGAAAGGAAAAGGAAGTATCAAAAATGGCCAGCCTAGGTTCCAGCTTTTAACAAGTAAATTAAACGGATGTTTGACAGCAAGCATGCTGTTCAATATCAAAGCTCCTCACTGTGTTTATATTTGACTACCTTTTAAAATCTCCCATCTGTTTATCGTAACAACATTTGCACCATTTAGCCTTCCTGCTCTAATTGGAATTTCATATGAAAACCTCCAAGAAGATATAAATAAATTAGAAAACTAGAAAAATTTCTTGGTCAAAGACTATGTTTTAGTTTACACAGGTAGACTGTCTATAAAGGAGAAAAACTATTTTTATTTATAAAACAGACAAGTAGGTCAATAACTAGAGCTAGGGAAAAAAACCCCAAACCCAAACTTCCCACAAATGATAAAGCCTGACAACAAACAGAGTAAATTAAGCTATCCGAAATAATTTTAAAAAATGTATTATACAGAGCAATCATTGCCACATAGCTTGGCAGCACATTTGTAGTTAAAAGCCCATCACCATTTCTATCGAACTTAATAATGTTGTTCTTTTCAAACAGTGCTGTCTCAACTGCGATGAACCATCAACCCAGATACATATTTTATTTTAAAGTATACTTTAGAATAAACCAATGCCTTTGATCAAAGCTATGCTGAAATCTGCATAGCAAAACTGGCTGAAAACAGGATACAGTAGCAACAGTTGCTTAATATCAGAACAAAAAAAGTGCATTAAAAATTGGATATGAAAGTGCACACTTATGAGTAATATAGACAGTATACGGAGAAGTACATTGCACCCCAAAAACTTAATGGAAGCTTACAGCATTTTGAATACACTACTGTGTTAAGTACTCCAGCTGTAGTAGTCTGAACAACACAAAGATGAAAGATGCTTCACTCATTAGGAGATACAAAATGAAATTACTATATGACAGATGCAAAATCATCAGAAGAAGTGGCTCTTTCCACAGTGCTAATTTATGTCATGATAATTCTCCCAGTGAAATGTTACGGATACTAAAAGGTTACACAGGGTTCAAAAAGCAATTTTTTTCTTCCATGAGTGTTTATTATTATGCCTGGTAAATGCACTGACCCCACTAATAGCTCAGGAAGAGCATGTGCTGTGTATTTTGAGAGGCTGGGAATATGCTCTAGTGAGGTTTCACTATCATCCCACTAAATAACCTCTCTTCCTTACCTACCCTTTGTTTACGCATAACGGGATACTGCGGATACTGTCCCAGATGGACTTGTCTTACTCCAGGACAGACTACAGCTTTCAGAGGAAGTATTTACCGAAAATATTTCTACCCTGGAAAAAGCGAATTTTAAATGTTTTATTGAAGCATTTTGTTTTACTAGTCTTTCCTAAAATGTCAGTATTGTCTGGTAATCTTCAAGCAAACTAGAAAATATTTCATCAAGACTCAATCATTCAAAGCAATACTCCATTCTAGATACCTGGAACTTATTTGCTGAGACATTTATTGCAGCTGCAAAGTATTTCCTTTTCTGTAGAAAAAACAGCATTTTATAGTGAAGGACTAAGGATTTCAAAAGGCAGTAACCAGTGTGTAAGAATGTGGGTAATAAGTCATTTGAAGCAGATGATGCAGCAAGAGGAAAATTGGCTGCATCATCCCTGTAAATATAATTCACGCCTAAGAACTGAGGCCCTGCATTATGTGGCCAAAAGATGGGTGTAACCAATTTCAAATGTTCAGAGAAACACTGTCAAGATTATAGTTTTGATACAGTCATGTTATTGTAAATACAAGTCCTTAATGATCTCACATTTGAGTAATCTACAGTTTATGTTTTTTTATTTGCCTGTAACTGAAAATAGTTCCAACTAAACTATTAGCAAATACTGAGGATCCAGGCCTAGAGAGAAACAAAAACCTACGCTTAAAATTTAAATTAAACGTAATATATGTCTGAAATTCCAACTTTTAAGCACTGCAGTCCTCCAAATAAAGGCTGAAAATAGTTTTATTTTAATGGTACACAATTATCCTATTACTGTACAACAAATATTAATAACATTAAAAAAGCCCTGCATCAAGCTGACACACAACAGTGACAAAGTTGGAAGTCCTATGTTTCCAATTATTTGCCCTTGTAAGTTCCTGTTTCCAGCCGCTACAATATTTGCTAAAATTTAGTTTATCTTCTCATACAATTGCCTAGTATATTTGGGGAAATTTCTGAAGAAATGACCGAAACATTTCTATAACAAGGTTAGAGTAAAATATTCTATGTTGCTACCTTTAAAAAATATTAGCAGTACCTCATGTATGTAAATTGGTAATTGAAATGTGGCAGGAGGCCTTAGTATCAATGTGTACCTTGTACTATTGCTCTTGCACAAATCTATCGAAATGCAGACAAACAACAGGCTTTGGAAAGCTTTCCATGTGTGTATCACTTCAATAAGGACAGATGTAAATTCTCTCAATATATCTGCCTACATAGATGTAGTTGAACAAAATTTTGCAGCATGCTGTTTTTAAAGTTATAGTGCCAGTCAGACCCAAAAATAGGGCATCTTTCCCCACCACTCCCAATTCATCTGCTGTTGAACACAAACATGAGAATAGAAGACCCAGAAGAAGAAAACAGCACCACATCTGACAAGACACTTGAGTCGGAGTTAGGCAGACTCTGGAATGAGGAATCAAGAAAGGTAAATGTCAGAGGTAAGCCATGACAAGGGAGAAATCAGAATCAACAGCATTAATGGAGCCAGTAATGACTGGAGGAGACCTGAAGTTGAAACAGGTAATCAAAGAAATGCTGTCAGCAAACACCACCCCCTGGAAAAGTGCCTACCATGACTACTTTACTGATTATTGAATGTAATAAAATATACCCATGCCAGCAGTTCTAATTTTGACTGAAATAGAGAAATCCTTGCCAAAGGAAGAAAAGACCAATCTGAAAGTAACTTCAACCCTGAGAAGATTACTGTATCCATATAATTGATATTAAAAAGTAATTTATAAATATAATTGATTTCAACCTAGGAAATTCTAAGTGGAACACAGCACAATATTGTCTACTCTAGAAAACATTCTGAAGTGGGGTAGTATCACAAAGTGTTCCATGTGCAATCATAACTAACCTACTTACATGCATTAGAAAATAACCTTTAACTACATCACCACATATTTTAATCAGGACTCTATCGTACTCAGGTTAAAACAAAGACCTTAACAGTCAGTTAATCAGT